AATGCTCCAAATTTATCCTTAACCTAACTTATGAGATAAACATCACCCATTTATAACTTCTTATTCAATCGAATGAAGTAATAGGTTTTACAGCCTTTCAGAATTCACTGAATATATTTAACTGATTTCTTTTTAACTCAAAGCAAAATCTCTCTGGACTGTTATTGTATCTAAAAGCTAGAACACATGGACCATTAACCGGGTATACAACAGTTTATAGTAGTGATTGCTGCTAGAACTCTGGGGCCTCCTAATATTTATTAGAAATCTAGACCTTGGCATATAGAGTACAATTTCAAAACCTGTGAAGGTAAAAAATTTTTTGAAATTATTGCGAACTGTGAGGAGGCTAGTGTGGACCTTCAAAAGGGCATTGGCAAGTTGGTGGAATAGGCAGAAAAATGGCAAATTAAATCTAAAACAGAAGTGTAAAGTGATACATTTTGATAGTGTCGCAAAGTTTGGTAGAAAACTTGTGGATTAGGAGGCAGGAAGTTAGAATTTGGTGTTTGTAAAATGCTAGGGGGGAAAAGATGATGTGCTTTTGCTATGCTTAGAGATTTAAATGGATGGCTGTGAGCAGCAACTTGAAAGTTTCCAAGTACACAGAGCCCCTGAACAGAAACATTTGTATCAAAATGCCATATAGTTAGCAGGCCAAGCAGCGGTTTTTACCGAGACGACAAGTTTTGAAATTAGCCAATCAATTTGAACCAGGCATGTCGATACCAAAAACCTATCAAATTTAAATCTGATGGTTTTGACAACATAGGACCAATCCTATTCTAAGAAATATTGATAGGTCATCAAGGGTATAAAAAGAAGGGGCAGTTGGACAAAATAGGAGAGGTAATTCCATCCGCCAGAGTGAATAGCCCTCTGCTCTCAAGAGAGAATCGCTGGCCCTCACTGACTCCTACATGTCTTAGAGGAAGCACCATTTAAATAGAAAAGGTACCCACGGCACAAGTAGTGAATATTCCTGACCGAAGAATCAACGGAGAAGGCATAGAGCATTCCAGAAGACACATAACCTAGTTGTAATTTTAGGAGACTAAATTCTCTTTTCTTAATTATATAACTGGGATTGTATTTTTTGGAACAGCATACTATTAGAATGTTTTGTTTGGCAATAGTTAGTAGCTAAAAGGGGTTTATTTGGTTTATTAATAGTTTAGTTAATTTGTTCACTGTTATTAGATAAATAATATGTATAATAATAATAATAATGTATTATAGATAATATAAATAATATTAGATAAATAATAAATAACATTGTTAACTGTAAAGTGAGTGTCGGGGTTTATTTTATTTAACACCTACTAGAAGTTGCTAAAAGGCAGGTTACACCACTTTTCACATTTCTCTTACAGATTATAGGGCAAGGCGTCCCTCTTTGGGTGTTTTGATTTTAGATCTCAGAGGAGGGGGGTCAACCTCTGCTTTATAACATTAGGAAGAATGTGGAAAGACAATATAAAATAAAGGATAAAATTCTAGAGCTTAGAGGAGCAGAAGAACCTGTTTGCATACGTGCACAGATGAATGAAGGTAACAGAACGGGTTGAAAGTGTTGTAAATAAAGAATACAGTATCATAGGCTTTATTAATAGGGGCATAGAGTACAAAATCAAGGAAGATTAATTGTGGTCAACTAAACTTCTTTAGCAGTGCTGATAGAAGGATAGATATTGATCAGAACATCTGTCATAAATCTTTGACTTGAGCTCAAACACTTTTGCATCCATCTATGTGAACATGGATTTCCATTGAAAAAAAATGTACTGCAGTACTACAGCACTACGGTGAGGTAGCTGACATTATGGGGTCAAGTCTAGCAGGGGGACTTAAATTCACAGCCCTGCCTTGGTGCTCAATGTGTTACCAATAAAGGCCATGGCCAACACTTATAAGAGCATAATTTCAGTCACCCTAAACCCCGATGACGTATTGTATGTTACACTGCACTGATCAATGCATCCTGTGATTTATCATAAGCAAACCCATAAAGGACCCATTAGTAAAGGATGATTCATCACCTTGGTGTAAGAAGTGGTCATGTTAAGGGAAGATCCTGACCAAGTGGTCAAGGATTACTGTTCTAATATTGTTCTCTTTCCAGACTCCAAATAGAATGATCTTTTGGAAATTATTTCACATTGAATAGAACATTGAAATCAACTGTAGTAAGAGCAATGATCTCCCAAAGACATAGTTCAGATGTCACTAAATAAATGTGTTTGCTACAGAAATGAAGAATCTAGTTTTTTCAAGACAAAAACTGGTTCTTGAAAAGCAGATATAGTAGTGACCAAACGTATTCCAAAATAGAGAACATTTTCCACAGAAACTAATAGAGACGAATCTTATATCAGAGTACCTACCAAGAGCTCAATTCTAATTTGATCAGTACCTGAAAATAAATGACGAATTACTACCCAACAAGAAATCTGAATTACGACCTACAATCTAATTATAATTCTACAATATAATTATATTCAAACCATTACATCATGAGATCCACATGACGCAACTGAGTTAGTCAGTTATTAGGTTGTGAAAATTGTTAGCGATTCCAGAACTTGAGACACTACCATAGATAATAAGATGTGAAGCCATTACAAGTACAAGAAAAAAATTTAAAAAGTCACGTGTGAAAATAGTGACCATGATCCTTAATGCCATTTGGCCCTTTGCTCTGTATTCTGCACTGAGGTTCTTGAGAGGATTCATGGCTCAGGTTGTGAATGCTGTGGTTGGTTCGCTCACCAAGCTCGTTCATTAGTTTGCAGACGTTTCATTACTCTGCTGGGTAACATCATCAGTGCAGCCTCCGATGAAGCGTTGTTCTGTTTTCCTGCTTGTTATTTAAACTCTTGGGGTCCGTTGGAGTCGATTCCTGTCTGTCCAACGTAACATTTGTAGCAGTCCTTGCATGAAATTTTGTATATTACTTTGGTTCTGTCCATAGTGGGCAAGGGGCCCCTGGTTCTCGTTAGTAGTTGATGTAGGTTTGTGTGCTACTCTGATGCCCAGTGGCCATAGGAGTCTTGCGATCAGTGCAGATATGTTCTCATCTATGGTAACATAACAAGAGTGTAGGGGCGTACTGTAACTTCCTGCTGTGACAGGCATCGTTGGACCCAGCTGTTTGGGTTTCTGTTACCTCTAAATACTTAGTGGAGGTATTCTTCATTTTGGCATAGTTCTGGGGTACTGCAGTGTACTGTGGCTTGTTTGAACAGTTTTTTTACGCAACTCCGTTTGTGGCTGTTAGGATGGTTACTGTTGAAATTTACGACTGTGTGTGTGTGTGTGTGTGTGCGTGTGTGTGTGGCCTTTCAGTATACTTTGGTCAGAAATTCCCCATTGGCCCTGTGTTCTACCATCACTCCAGGAATGGGAGCTGTTTGTTCTTTTCTTTGGTGAATTTGATGCCGATAAAAATGTTGTTTATAAGTTGGTGTGTTTCTTCTAGTTTAGTCCATTCGATGATGATGAAAGCATTGTCCACGTATCAGATTTATAATTTGGGTTGGATCCGCAGAAGGGCCGTACTTTCAAGTCTCTGCATCACTGCTTCTGTTATTAGTCCAAAGATGGGTGACCGCCCACCCCCCCATAGCTGTCCCATTGATTTGCTTGTAGATCTGGCCATTAATTGTAAATGGAGTCATGAGGCATAAGTACAGTAATTTTAGCACGTTGTCTGTGCAGATGCTGTTACTCAGGTCCAGTTCTTTCAGTGGCGTTGCTCGTGTTACTCTTGCTAGTGGTGTGTCGATCAATGTGAATAAGATGTCTCCCACTGATTCCAGTTTTGCTAACCGTCCTAGATTCCACACTCGGTTAAACAATGCTTTGAGACCAAAGGCAGCCACTTCACCTCACCCTAATTTCAGCTCCTTTACTCATGTTTCAACAAAGGCCGTGATGACATCAGGAACCGAGTGGTGCAGGTGGAACCAAATTAAGCATGCTGTTGCCAAGTGGTGCTACTTGTCAAAGATACCTTTTATCAATTTACTGATGACTGACAGCACTCTGAGGGAGTGATAAAATGGGCTGGGTTGAATTTATGCTGCTTTTTGTGTACAAGGCATAAGTGGGCAATTTTCCACATTGTTGGGTTGCTGAAAGTGTTATTACTGTACTGGAACTGTTTAGTTTGGGGCATGGCCAATTCTGGAGTGCAAGTCTTCAGTACTAATGCTGAAAAGTTGTCAGGGCCCACAGCTTTTGTAGTATCATGTACCTTAAGATGTTTCTTGATATCATGTGGAGTCACTTCAAATTGGCTAAACGCTACCATCCGTGGTGCTGGTGGCCTCAAGGGAAGGCCAAGGTGGATCATCAACCTGCCACTTCTAGTGCAAATGTTTCAGCCTTGTCTTTTGAATTGATATGCTGAACTTATGCCCCAGCCGACAATGACGATGAGGATATTTGTGAAGCCTCCTCATCCTCCAGTTAGTTGTTTAATTGTCCGTCTAAGGACCGATCTGGACGTTGAGTATGGTATCGCTATAATTTATAAACTAGTAGATGGGAGAGGATGCCTGCTCTCATACAGACACATGAGCCTTGAAGTCTCATTGGATTGTATACTAATAACAAAGCCACAAACAGTACAAGCAAGTCCCGGATTAATAAAAATCAACAAATAAAATAATCCAAGTTCAATTCAATAATTGCTCAAATCACTCTTTTGCATAATCTGTATAAGGTTTCATTCATGCTTGCCCTTGAAAATAGCTAGTTAATAGATAATATATCTGTATATAGCAGGTAATATACCGAACTGATAGAACCTTAGAACGGCTCTCTATCAATGGAGGGAAAAATGGCAGGCTATACTGAGGTTATTTCCATGCAAGAACAGAGCTTTGCATATCATCTTCATAAAAGGTGGTAAGCATGAATGTAATTCAAAATATTATAATCTCTATAAGATCCTATCATCTCTACCATCCTCATCCAGGATACTAAACCCAATTTACCTTACAGCCAGCCATCTTCATTTTGTTCCTGTTAATGTCCATTTCTTCCCAAACATCCTTCTCCCCAACATAAGGAACTCGAGGGTTATGGGCTTCTTGCATTTCCACCATCCTTTCAGGGCTAATAATGCCTGGAATAATATTCTCGCCATCGCTGAGCTGTTCATCCTGCAGTACCTCATCAGTATTTTCTTTCATCAGATCTCCTGGTACCAGTGAAGCATTAGCAATTCTGTTGAAACACAAGTGGCAAGATATTTTATCTAGTCTATTTTCAGGACATGGAAAGAAAAATTTAATCTACAAAATTAATTAAAATGTGTTTAAGTGCATACTTGTGTGACTCATAGAGCTTTCATATGATCTGGAATGCATTGTCTTTATGAAAAGTGGAAGCAGCTTTAATTTTCAAAAGGCAATTGGATGTATATGAATAGGAACTGGCCTCTTTCAGTGCTGAAAATTGAAACCGCATATTGAAAAGCTGTCCTGAGATTTATACGATAAGTTATAGCAGTGAATTCACACTTCTATTTATGGATATTACAATGTATATGGGTACAGCAAATTCCTATTATAAATCAGATAATTTTGAATAACATCTTCTTTCCAGAAGGACAGCACACCTGATGCAATGTTCTTGTCATCATTTTTAATGAACCTTGCAAGTTAGTTTTAATGATTGTTTTAGTGATATTTTCTTTTGGCCAGGAGACTTGCCCCAGCTGTGTCATTATTTGTAAACCATCTCGCAAATGAACACATAATGACACTGCTAATGGACAACTAATTCTCTTCAGCTGGTTAACTGTCAAGAGGATGGCCTCTGTGATTCATAACCGAGGGAACACCTCTGCGTTCACTGACAGTTCAGCCAACGTTCCACTCAGATCACTAATTCTGGCCCCAAGCCATTAAAGCGGTAGAGATGCTATAAAGCATACTAGGGAGGAGACACCGAGCTGTGATTTATTGTCTGCTTTAGCTGCCAGTGAGTAGCACAGAATATTCTGTGGATCAGAGAAGCATGAGAACAAATTGGGAATCAAATGTTTTGAATCGCTAGTTGGTTAGCTGTGGGAAAGAAATCAATTACAACAGGTCATTACTACATGACAGATGCAGATGTATCTGATAGTTTAGGAATATACCTTTCTGACAAAATGGTTAAAATGACCGTAATGCATCGTTTCTATTGTTGGGAAATAACTGGAAGTAAATGTGATAGAGAAGTTGGGTCTAGGCCCGAAACGTCAGCCTCTCTGCTCCTATGATGCTGCTTGGCCTGCTGTGTTCATTCAGCCCTGCACCTTGTTGTCTCGGATTCTCCAGCATCTGCAGTTCCTACTATCTCTTATAAAATAACATCTCCTGTTTAGAACAAGTCATCAACACGAAGACAAAGAACCTAATGTCCTGCTTAATTAAAAGGTCAAGCTAGAATCTTACCATAAGACATTTGCAGACTAAAATGATTAGTTTCTAAGCTCTTTGGTTGCTTGGCGGCTTATCAAATTTTGTAACAAGAGCAGCAGGGATATGCCTACGAATTTCAAATTGCGTTAACCACTAGGAGGAAGGCTGGCCAGGAAACACAAACAGGTTGTGTAAAAATTAAGAGGGTACTTTGTGTGCTTCTTTGTGGTTTCAACAGAAGTCAGTGAGTCAGACTTGGAACCAAAGCACCATCACCAAAAACTGGTGCAACCTGCAAGATGATTTAATGAAGAAAGGGTTTGGTGATGAGGGAAGAGTGGTGGAAGAATTTTAACACAAAGTTAGGAAAATAATTTGCTTTTACAGCAAAATGTACAAAATAAAGCTACCTAAGTTTTTTTACTGTTTGCAAAAGTGTATGGTTTAAGATTAGAGAACTATATTCACACATGCAGTGTAGCATCTAACATACATTGTAGAAAATTTAAGAACACAAAGAAATTATTTCCCATTTGGTGTTCATTTGGCAATGCAGGAATTTATGATGATAATAATGCAGTCAAGTTTAACAATTTGCTCTGTAAAAGCTTAACGTGCTTTCCTTCTTCTGTTTCAATATAGGTACTAAATATACACGTGACTAAATATTATCATTGGATTTGAGCCAAAGAATAATTGTTGTATCACATTTCCTACCCTGACTATATGACAAGACTGTTTAAAATATTTATTTAAACAAACTGCACTTGACATATCAAAGAATCATAGAATCCCCAGTGTGGAAACAGGCCCTTCGGTCCAACAAGTCCACAGCGACCCATTCCCCTACCCTTTCACTATAACCCTGCATGTCCTATGGCTAACACACCTAATCTATACAACCCTGAACATTTTGGGCAATTTAGCATGGCCAATCCACCTAGCCTGCACATCTTTGGACTGTGGAAGGAAACTGGAGCACCTGGCGGAATCCCACACAGACTTGGGGACAATGTGCAAACTCCACACAGACAGTCACCTGTGGGTGGAATCGTACCCAGGTTCCTGGTGCTGTGAGATAATGTATTGTGAAATCATAGATCTCAACAACATGCCATGAGCAATCTCTATTTGGAGCCCTAACAATCCAAATCACGCCAACAATGCAAAAATGGGCCAATTTGGAATTTGGCCATGAGCTAACAACATATCTGTCCTACAGATTACGTAGGCAACAACTCAACTCTGCAAATTCAATTCTACATAGGCAGCACACAGCTCAGTCCCAGAAACTACTATCAAATTATCTATTCCTTGAATGTTCTACCTTGCCATGATCGTGCAATGGTTTAAAAAAACCTTCTCCTTGATTTAATCTTCAGCCTTTCATCCCAATTCTCCCTACTTTTAAAGCTTTTGGGCACACACTTGGCAGACATTTATTTACTCCTAAACATAAAGATGACTGACATGTCCTGCAAAAAATGTCAGTACTTTAGAAATACAGGCTGTTGTTGTCAACTTGTGCTAATCACCCAACATTTCCCACCTATTGCACCCCACCAACTCCCAAACTACTAAATTGTCGTGACGTCACTAAATACCAAAATTATATAATCCAATTTATGATTAATTTTTAAAAAATTATTTTCAGACTTCCTTCCCTAAAGCGTGAACCAAATAGTTTTAGGACATTGTTGTAGTTTTATGGTCAGCATTACTAACAACAATTTGTTTTTTTGCCAATTCCAGATTTTAATTGATTTTAAATTCCCCAATTTCAGTGGTGGGATTTGAACTCTGTCTCGAAAACATTAATCTGGGCTTCTGGATTACTAGTTCAATAACAATAATACATTACAAATAGCTTATAGGCTATGGTATTCATTTTACTTGGTTTAAAAATATTACAAATAACATTAACTCTAAACCACTCTTTAGGCTCTGTAGATAGAGCTCCCAACTTCTATATACTCAACTCATTCAAAACATTGTTGATATTATTCTATTCCAGACTAAGTCTCATTATTTTTTCATTCCTATGTTCCTTTGGTTCAGTTTATCTTTTACTTCACATCCTTTAGAACAGCGTTTGCCTAACTTTTTCCCATCGTGACCCCATTTAAAGGTTCAAAAACTATTGCGACCCCTCAGTGAACTATCACAGCAGAGGCAGGAGGGAAGAAGGCATATGAGAGCAGGGTGCAGGCAAGAAAACACCTGGAGGGAATGGGAGGAACGCCACAGCAGCCTTTGTTGGTTCAGACTTCGTGCCCCCAAAGTTTTAGTTCACAACCCACTTGGGGTCCCAATCCCACCTTGGGAAGCCCTGCCTTCAAAACTCCTTTGGATATTCTGTATTATATCGATGTAATTTGCCACAGCATATAGATAACAGAAGTGCTCAGTAATCTGAATACTTTCCTCTTCCTTCAGTTTCTTCATGTTACTTCCTGAATAGGCAACAGCAAATGATTGGCTGCATAACTGGCATTATAACACTTTAACCTGTTGCAGAGCTATTCAGGGAATGCAACTAATAACAGCAAAGTGTTTCTTGTTTTTGATGATGTTTGGAATGACAGGGGATAGTGCAGCTTGACTTGAAAGTCAACATGTACATATTGAAATAAAATTTGTCTTACACTCATTCCACGAGTGGGAAAATGATATTTTGCCCTGATTGCGCTCAGGCTCATATTTTACGTATGCTTTCGTTTTTTTGCTATTTAACAAATGAAATAAGATAAACCTTATTAAATTTGTTAATGGTAAACATTTTATTTGTGTACTTTGAAAGTTGAACACCAGCTGTTCTGTAACACCCCCATTTCAATTAGGCATTCCCATCAGAGAATATACTTCGTCAGGGCTCCAAAGTGATTCTTTTACTTAAAGTTTCACGTCAGCTTTCCTAATTCTGAGTTTAAAGCAAGTTCGACTAGCCCCCAGTCCACAGTGAAGCCTGTCTGTGCAGATCCCATATACTCTGTCTGAGTTTCTTTCTTTCTGTTGCTTTCTCTCTGTAATAGAAAAATAAAAAATTCTTTAATGTTTAAAAACTTTTTATTTTCCTTTTTTTATTGATTCTGGTTCTTTCCATCTCCCAATTTTAAGTCTATCCTCCTCCTTTGCTCCATTCCCAATCTATATTATCTTTTGTTTAAAGTTTCTTTGTTTGCACTTATCTTTTATTCCTATCTGTTGCCACCTACAGGTGCTACATTTACATTATCCCAAAACACTTCAAGGAGAGTTAGCAAACTAAAACTGACATCAAACCACTCTATTAGGAAAAGACAACCAAAGATTTGGCCTTAGAGGTAGGTTTTAAGGAGTGTCTTAAATGACAGGATAGAAGAGAAACAGAGATTTACAAAGAGAGTTCCAGAGTTTAAAGCCTAGGCAGTTAAAGCATGGCTATCAATAATGGCACAATTAAAATTGGAGACGGGGAGATGATCAGAATTAGAGGAGTGAAAAAATCTTGACGAGTTGCAGGGCTGGAGAAAATCAAAGATGAGGAGGGTAGGGAGGGATGTAAAAACAACAATTGTTAAAATAGTGCAATATCAGATCATGAAACAATCTAGGTCAGTTAGTAATAGTGAATGGGAGTTCATGAGGTCATGCAGGTAAGCATGTAGGTCTAGTAGGCAGTCAAGAAGATAAATGGTATGTTGGCCTTTAAAGCAAGAGATTGGAGTACACGACTAAGTACACGAGCTGCAGTCACACAGGGCCTTGGTAAGACCATACCTGGAATTTGTGTGCAGTTTTATGTTATGCGTGGAAGGATGTTCTTGCTACAGAGCGAGTGCAGTGAACATTTACCAAACTGATTCCTCGGATGGCAGGACTGACATGTGGGGAGTTGAATTAGTTAGGATTATATTTGCTGCAGTTCAGCAGAATTCAGGGAATCTCAAAGAACCTAAAGAATTCTAACAGGATTGGACAGGGTAATGCAGAACAGATATTCCCAATAATCCAGAAACAAGGGTCACAGTCTAAGGGTGAAGAATTTAGGACTGAAACGAGGGTAAATTTCTTCACCTAAAGACTGGTGAAGCTGTGGAATTAGAAAGCACAGAAAGCGGTCGAGACCAAAACACTGTATAATTTCAAGGAGTTGGACATAGCACTCGGGACTGAAGGGAATCAAAGGATGCGGGAAAAGGCAAGAACAGGCTACTGAGTTGAATGACGGAGCAGGCTCAAAGGGGCCAAACTGCCTCTTCCTGCTCCTGTTTTCTGTTTCAATGTAAGGCAGCAGAGTTTTGGATGACCAAGTTTATGAAGCGTTAGACGAAAGACTGCCTAGGACAGCACTGGAGTCAGTAAAAGACTTTGCCCTTTCCTTTGTTTCCATAACCTGAGATTCCCAATACCACTTTTTGCAAACAATCAAGATCACTCCAATCTATGTGACAGAAGACTGCTCTTTCTGCAAGGTCATCAACACAAAATTGCTATTACATAATTATTACTGCAGTAATTTACAATGAGCTTTAAGATGTATTTCATGTCAATTTTGTTAGCAGTACTAATTGTAATTCAAACATGTCAAAATTCTTTTTGGCAATTAACACTCTAGACCAATTGACTTGTGAAACAAGAAACAAAGGAAAACTGCATTGAGAACATCGCTGAGCCCAGGTTGTCCTCACTCTAAGGTGCAGATCATCATAGAGCCAAGGTTGCTCCCCGCAAGGTACAGAACATCTTCAAACCAGGTTGCCCCCACCCTAAAGTGAGGAACATCATTCAGCCCAGGTCACTTATATCACAAAGTGTAGATAGTCAGCGAACCATGATGCTCCCATCCAAAGGGTGCAGGACATCATTAAGTGTCAGTCACCCGCACCCAAGGTGCAGAATATCATCAAGCCAGGTGGAATTGGACAATACTCCAGGGCACAGTTCCCAAGTCTGAAAACATTCCTATTGTCTTTAATCCCATTTACAAGTCTCAGCTGCATTTGAGTTTTTTTTAAAAAAATGTATATTTGATTGCTTTTGCTGCTGATGAAGAATGAAGAAAAGTATACATCAGAAAGTGTTATTCAGTTCTTCTGAGGTCATCAGATGGGGCCTGGAAACTACAAATCTGAGAATAGCTGGAATACAGCTTGTGTTGCAGACTGATCCAGATTTCATCTTACCAAGAGAATTTATGCAGTGTGGTGATTGTAACAAGGTACGCCAGGTGGAGCTTAGCATAGATCCCTGATTGGGCTGTTAACCTGTCTAGGCAGGGCTCCCTGGCTGACAGATAAGAACAGGAGTGTCAAATATCCTGTCCATTCCATGAGCTGGTTCTGAGAAAGCTGGATCAGTGACAAGGATTCTCCACATGTAAATAAAGGCGATGGAATACCAGCCTCTGTGGAGTTATTTCACAGGGATCACACAATTTGTTACTTTCATATTAGGATAATATAGGTGAAGTTTCTTAAACTACTGTAATCAGCATCTTATTACTGTGTACCCGTTATTATCAATAAATTTATTCCATAGCTTCTGTCCTAAACCATCGTTTGATAGCAATCATTCCATGACCTTCCACAAGTATAAATCCCAAGAAAACTTGCACCATATCCAGCAAGCTAAACATAGTACTACAGACATCTATTCCATCGAACTTAACACATGACCACCAGGGAGCATCAGTATATTCAAGGGATAGTCCCAGATGTAGTGCCTGAATGGCATTTTAAGTCATCAAGTAGTTAGGCATTGCTAAGATTTGATCTTAGAAAGAATAATATATGGAAGAATGAAAAGGCAAGGAATTCTACAATTTTGAATCTGGAAAGGAATTAACAAGAAATGAAACAAGAATCAGCAAGGAAATGCATGTAGGACACACAAGTTCTTTAAATAAATATATATGCATTAAAATTATTTTTAAAAACATTAAATAGAAACCTTTTAAGGCCTAACTAAAATTACTAAGTTTCTAAAACTTACTTGGAAGATAAACACAGCATATGGTACTAAAGTTAGAGTGGCCACCTGATATAAAGGCTGGACTTTTTGTCCTCTTTACAGATTTTGTTTTAAATGTGTGTGGCTTCAGACACACATCATTAACATAGTTATTTCAAAAACAAGTTAAGATGGACACTGTTTTTGTTCAGTAAACCAAATAAGATGGTAGGATAGAGATCAACTGTCCCTCCACACGTAAGCAGATTCTTTGATTCTCAGACTAAATTTGTCCTGGGACTAAATAGATTACATATTGTTAAAACATGGGTCAGTCACAAATGATGTCTGATCAAGTGATTCTATGATAAATAATCTACTGTTGTGTCTTTGACCCAAGCTTTATTTAGGGAATTCTGTCTAGGCTATGTGCTTCAGATTTTGCCCAATAATTTTTGTTAGGCTCAAGTTCACAGTTTTCATTTTTGGAATTTGCACTTAATTTAATGGGTATTGACATCATTTCACCCACATATTGGGAAAATGAATCAAGAACATTGTCTCTCAGTGTTACTGATAATGGAGCTTGTAGAAATATGGAACAACTTAAAATTCTGCAGACAGATTTAATCTTTATTCTTTTCTGAATATTTATACTGATGTTTTCATTAGGTTTTACTATTTCTGGGCAAATTTATTAGCTTCAACTGCAAAGACTGATTTGAGCAAGATTGAATACCAACTTTCACAGTAAACACAAACAAATGGTATGCATCTCACATGGTGTCTTGTGTGATAGCCCTCCCTGCAGCTATTCCAAATGTCAGTTGGCAACTGAATCCCAAGTATTAGATCAATTCTAGATCTTTAACCAGCAGGTATTGCTGCAATTAACACACCGTGGTGAACCAATTTGTTCTTCAGGGCTGTGATCCACAAGAAGACTTTGTGCATTGTTCAAATTACTAAGTTGGGAACACTGCTATATTGAGAGAGATATACCTTCAACAGATTGAAATTCTCAAATACAGCCTTAGAACAATTTTCCAGTGGTATCCTACTCACCCAAGAGCAGCAGGTGTCTGCCGTGTATGTAGCTGAGGAGTGGTGGATGTGGTTATCATGGTAAGAGATCCATCCGTCCCAGTTTTCTCCCAGTCAAAGGGGTCACTGTCAACAACCCCATGTGCTTTAATGCTGTTATCAAATACAGACATCAACAACTGCAGAATAAAGGGAAATAAAAGCAGATCAGAATTAACTAAGTTAAAGGAATATGATAATGGATCAGACACGGGGCTCTGGGATGGTGACAGAAAAGATAATAACTGGCAGTGATTAGAAGCATGATCTTAAGTTTCAGAACTCCTTGCAGTAAAGCTCAAGTGTGTTTTGGTCTTCCCAAGGTGAGAATACCACCAGGAAATCAGTGTTGATGGTAAATGGAATATGACATATTTTATTGTTTTTCAGCTTTGCAAGACATACATTTTGGAATGAATGACGAAGATGTGGCACTCTGAAGAATCATTAAAGTTTACTGAACAGATGCAAATAAATGGTCAATAATAAATAGTCTATATTTCCTGAAAATTTTACATGCATGGTTTTAAATTCACTAATGTTTTCAAATACTACAAAAAGCATCCATAAACTTACTGAACCCTTAACTAAGAGATCAAAACAACCAGAGAGATTCAAAACTACTGATCACGAGGAAGAAAATAGTGAAAGGGGTTTGTTGAATTTTGGGTTTACACCCTTCTATGGCACTGTATCACATTCAATATTTCACAGGCGTACTTTATTTGAATTGAAATGAAAAGTGATTCCAAGTTATTTTGTGAAACAGATCTTCCCAGTTTATTTTTTTCCATGGAGCAGCAGACACTTATTTATAAACATCATCATCACACCACTGCAGTAAAAGGCGTAATTTTGAAAATAACATCTTAATTATTGTAAATAAAAAGTCAACTCTGTTTCATAGCAGGGTTTTGACACATTGATTAATAGCATCCTGAATTGTAAGAGTTTGGCCAATCCTGCTAACTGATGTACTGGCACTGGAGGGGGTGCAAAGGAGGTTCACTAGGTTGATTCCGGAGTTGAGGGGGTTGGCTTATGAGGAGAGACTGAGTAGATTGGGATTATATTCATTGGAATTCAGAAGATTGAGGGGGGATCTTATAGAAACATATAAAATTATGATGGGAATAGATAAGATAGAAGTAGAGAGGATGTTTCCACTAGCAGGTGAAGCTAGGACAAGAGGGCATAGCCTCAAGATTAGAGGGAGCAGATTTAGGACTGAACTGAGAAGGAACTTCTTCACCCAGAGGGTTGTTAATCTATGGAATTCCTTGCCCAGTGGAGTAGTTGACGCTACTTCAGTAAACGTTTTTAAAGATAAGGTAGATTTTTTTTGAACAATAAAGGAATTAAGGGACACGGTGAGAACATGGGTGAGTGGATCTGAGTCCACAAAAAGGTCAGCCATGATCTTATTGAATGGCGGAGCAGGCTCGAAGGGCCGGACGGCCTACTGCTGCTCCTAGCTCTTATGTATGTTCTAAGTTGTGGAAAATCATGCTTTATTTGGGTATTGCCATCATCAGGATTGTCCATTATTTTATCACTCTATAACCTGCCCCTTAGAGGGACCGAGGACCTGTGCAATAGCTTAATTCTTTTCCAAGGTCTTAAAGATGAGTTTTACTAAAACCACTGTGGCCAAACAGGATGCTATTAGCAGAATTATTCAGATGCTACAAAAAGATACGCTATCTTATCTTAATCAATTAGGTATCTTAGACTCGAGGTGACAGGTATTACAAAACACAGTGGCAGAACAACAAAGTGAGAAAGACAGACAGAGAAGAGCAGAACTCCCGCACCCTTGGGGCAGAGTGTGTGGGCGAGAGGGAGAACGCACACGCATGCGAGAGAGATAGAGAATGCCCGCATGAGAGAGAATGTGTATGTGGAGATTGTGCAATTTATAGGTGGACACATTAGAGGTACTGATGAGTCATTAGTCTTGAACAAGGAACATCTTCCTAAGATTACTCAATCCAGCAAGCCTTGTAATTGAAACTACATGCAAAACTAAATTCAAAAGGGATGGGGGTCCCTAGTACTGGCCTGAAAGACCCAACAACATTACTGGTCTTTTTAGGTCCACTTCTTATTAATTCTAGATTAGAGAATCTAAGTGGGATTTGATGGATTGTAAATTGGAACACCTTTCGACCAATACTTTTGTCAACTTGCAACAGAAAATGGACAAATACGTGTCTTGTACAATTTGAAAAGCAGCCACAGCTCCCTACCTAAGGATCCTCAAACAACTCCTTATAATGGATGAGTAGAGAATGACATATCTGCCTCTTTTTGAAACTAGTGATCAGTTGGTTTGCCGAGCTGGTTCGTTGTTCCACAGACATTTCATTACCCTGCTAGGTAACCTCATCAGTGCAGCTTCCAATGAAGCACTGTTGTGTTTTCCCGCCTGTTGTTATTTAAACCCTGGTGTCCGTTGAACTGGATTACCTCACTTCCGGTTTTCCTTTGCAACAGGGTGTATATGGGGTCTAGCTCTGTGTGTTTATTGATGGCTTTCTTAGTGGAATACCAGGCTTCTAGGAATTCCCCGGAAGCACGTTCAGGGCAAAGCAGACCCCTTGATTCGCACCAGATCCAATCCCTCCAGAATTGATGCTCAGTAGCAATAGTGTAGTATCTACAAGATGCATTGCAGAAGTTCACCAAACATCCTTAAACAGCACCTTCCAAACCCACGACCACTTCCATCTACAAGGACAAGGACAGCAGATATATGGGGACACCACCTCCAAGTTCCCCTCCAAGACACTCACCACCCCGATTTGGAAATATATCGCCATTCCTTCACTGTTGCTGGATCAAAATCCTGAAGTTCTCTCCCTAAGGGTACTGTGGGTCAACTTACAGCACATGGGCTGCAGCAGTTCAAGAAGACAGCTTATCAGTGCCTTCTCAAAGGCAGCGAGGAATGGGCAATAAATATTGACCGAGCCAGTGACACCCGCACCCCAGGAGTGAATTAAAAGAAAACTTTAACGGTAAGTGATGCAGCCTCCAGTTATACGAACATGTGTCAACGTGGTATAATAGAACATTATGTCTCCACTTATTCATTTTTTTTTAGTTGAAGGGAGGGAGATGGAGACGGAGAATTTCCACTATACCATAAATGTAGCAAAATTGTGATGACAGGCTTCATGAATAGTTTACACATTTGCTACACAGCATACATAGGAAGCTTGCTCATGGTAAGTTCCTAATCACAGCTGGACTCTGGAGAAGACATTGATATTTACTATTTCAGCAAATAAAACACTCGAGGCCAGAGGAAGCAGTGTTACTCTTCAAATAGTTTTCAGAAACTAGATGAGAAAATCAGACTTCTCAAAAGTAACTGTGGATCTGGGCTTATTATGAGTCAGTACAAGACTATATTCATTTACCTGGTAATCTGGTTTTGTGAAATAATCCAAACAAAGAACGTGTTCCAGAAATAAAGCAAACTCTTGGGGAAGGTGCTTCAACATAAGGCGATGATCATATTTTTCTTTTATCAGACCTACTTGTTCCTGTGAACACCCAGAACATAAGTAACAGGCACACAAGTTTTATCCGCAACAATCCAATTAACAATGCTAAGATCATCAATTTCAGCTACAGTCTCTTCGCTACATCAACTAATAACAGGTGATAGCCTACTTAATAACTCAAGTCTCAGTAACAAACAAAAGGGTGCTTATACACATTTGTTTTATAATAGCTAGTGGCTCTTTTATTTAGTTTCTCATGATAAAAGGTGTCACATCAGTGGTTGACAAGGTTGCTTCACAAATCCCATTCTGAAAATTTGTAGATTTAAGCTACTCATCAGGAACCCGAGGTCCATCGGTTGACACTCCTGAACGCCAGTACTGAAGGAGTGTCGCATTGATGGAGGTGATGAGTTTCGAATGTTAGGTTTAATTGTTCATGGAGCACATTGGAGATGTTGGCCAGGTAAAAGATATTATGACATTTTTTACAAGAGGGGTTCAGTTCTCCCTCCAACCAGCCCAATGTTAATCATTCAGCCATCACCATTTAAAGAGTTTATCTGGTTAAAATCACACTGCTCTTTGTGACAGCTGGCTGTAAATTGGCTGCCATATTTCCACATCACAACCAAAGTTTGCCACAAATTATACAAGTGTGCAAACAGTAATGTGTTGCACAGGAAGCAAACAGGGTCACACATGAGCAACATTTCTTTTAGGAATCGTAAAAACATTAATCATAGAATCATCATCGAATCCCACCAGTGTGGAAGCAGGCCTTTCGGCCCATTGAGTCCACACCGACCCGCTGAAGCACATCCCACCAGACCCACCCCATCCCTGTAACCCTGCATTTCCCATGGCTAATCCACCTAGCCTGCACATCTCTGGACACTATGGGCAATTTAGCATAGCCCATCCACCAATTTAGCGTGGCACATCTTTGGACAGTGGGAGGAAACCGGAGCACCTGGATGAAACCCACACAAACATGGGAGAATGTGCAGACTCCGTGCCCAATGGTGGAATCGAACCCAGGCCTTCACAACAACACACCTGTTTCTTCATCTTAAGTTTGTTACTTTAGCCACTTTCCATGTAAAAAAGGCACCTCAATTTTCAATAATTATCCAGAAGTGCGAACTGTCTTTCCATGATCAGGCTGATATTCTACACCTATTATAGTCTAGCAGCCTTCTAACTACTATCACTGTTTAACTACTGTTTTGCCATTTTACTTTTGATATTCCTAGCATTTTAACTCATTTGGTACATTCATATGACTCCTCCCCAATAGTCTAGTTCTATTCCTTTTCTCATGCAGGATTTTGAAAGTAAGATATCTAAAACACAAGATAACCCACTTAATTCAAGCACAGAAAAGATAGTAGTTTAAGGGACTTAAGGCCCAATAAGATATATACAATATAGTTAGCAATGACTATGACAGATTTGTGAAGGACGTTTTATTTTTGTACATTAAAGGGTTCCCTAATGCTAAACAGCACCGACATTGGAAGATGTTTAATTATATATACGCATTGCCATACTCACTAAATCACACTACATTTCATTGACAAAGGTGACATTGATTTAAAAACTAAGCAAAACCCATAATTTCTCACTAATGGAAAGTCCACAGCTAAGTTAAGAGTAAAACCCATTCTTTTCAGGTGGTTCAAAAAGTTAACACAGTACAGAACATAGAACAGTACAGCACAGTATGGGCCCTTCGGCCCACAATGTTGTGCCGAACTTTTACCCGAATTCTAAGGTCAATCTAACGTCCACCCCTACCTTATACTATCATCCATATGCCTATCTAATAGCTGCTTAAATGCCCCTAATGAGGCTGACTCCACTACCCTCTCCAGCAATGCATTCCATGCCCCGACCACTCTCTGAGCAAAGAACCTACCTCCGACATCTCCCCTATATCTACCTCCACTCACTTTAATACTATGCCCCCTCATAATAGCCACCTCCACCCTAGGAAAAAGTCTCTGGCTGTCCACTCTGTCTATACCTCTGATCATTTTGTACACCTCTATCAAGTCACCTCTCATCCTTCGTCATTCTAAAAAGAAAAGCCCTAGCTCTCTCAACCTTTCCTCGTAAGACCTTCCCTCCATTCCAGGCAACATCCTGGTAAATCTCCTCTGTACCTTTTCTAACACTTCCGCATCTTTCCTGTAATGAGGCGGTCAGAACTGGACACAATACTCCAGATGTGGCCGAACCAGGCTTTTGTATAGCTGGAGCATAACTTCATGGCTCCTGAACTCAATCCCTCTATTAATGAAAGCTAACGCACCATATGCCTTCTTAACAACTCTATCCACCTGGGTGGCAGCTTTCAGGGAACTGTGAATATGAATCGCAAGATCCCTCTGCTCCTCCACACTGCCAAGAATCTTTCCGTTAACCCTGTATTCTGCCTTCAAGTTTGTCCTTCCAAAATGAATCACCTGACACTTTTCAGGGTTAAACTCCATCTGCCACTTCTCAGCCCAGCTCTGCATCCTATCAATGTCCCTTTGTAACCTAGAACAGCCCTCCGCACTGTCCACAACTCGACCCACCTTCGTATCGTCCGCGAACTTACTAATCCACCCTTCCACTCCTACATCCAAATAATCTACAAAAATCACAAATAGAAGAGGACCCAGAACAGAACCTTGTGGTACACCATTCGTACATGGAGCACCATGTTGAATATTTTCCGTCCACTACCACCCTTCGTCTTCTAAGAGTCAGCCAATTCAGAATCCATGTATGTGGGTTAAGACCCAAAAGTTCCAGGTTTAGCCCCCAGTCTATGCTCATTAACTAACTCAGCTAGTTAACAATACAAATGCTATAACTGGCTGTAGTTTAGGATTTATCTTGAGTTCTCAGAATTACTCGAAGATTAAAGAACAGATTGTTTATATGAATACCAGTAGATACAAGTCTGCTGTTGCTACTGGACTCTTCAACCTCAGTCTCATGTATGTTTAATCACACCTTATTAATTCAGATGGCTTCTACTGATGAAAGGCATTGTGAGACACGCAGTTAAAAAAAAAAATCAGACCAACTGCGAAGTACCTCATGCGATCATCAGCTGAAATGTTCTCAATAAGCTCAACATGTCCTGATGCAGCACTTTGTGTTCTTGCTTCCACTTAAATCATTATGAAAGTACAGGTAGTTCTCCTATAACGGGATAGTTGCGTTCTTGCGTAACCTCGTGCTATAGAAGATTGCACTACAGAAAATCGCATTATAGGGAAATTGTTATACCTGTACAGCAGAAAGTTCACTTTATCCAAACAGCGTTCACTCGTCATCGATCATGTTACAGCCAGTTCGCGTTAACGAAACACGCGTTACAGCAGAACTACCTGTAATTAACTGAATGGAAATCATTGTAACCTTTCAGTCGTATGCCGAATTCTACTTCTGCACTTCAGTTTATTGTTTTAAGAAATACCTTGTCCTTTATCTTCCTCCATGGTAGTTGCCCAACCACAAACTCCACCAACATGTAAAATAAGGACCAAAGGTCATCGTGTCGGCCCATTTCCTGTTTTGAAAAAACAGATCTGTAAGCATGAAGAATTCAAATTTATCAGGAAGCTGGATAAACCATGTCATTAGTTCTTTTTTAATATGAGCAACATGGGCCAACAAAAGATAAAGTCTATTTACAAGTCATTTCGCTGTTTAAGGGTTTGTAAAAACAAAAGTACACATTGTCCACAGCTTAATAAACCAAATTTGAAGTGGCCTTTGATATCAACTATGCTGTAACTATCACATCAGTTACAGGAATTTGGAAATTCTTCCAATGGGAAACATTAAACATAAAAAGAAAATGCTGGCCAGGTTTGTCAGCTTGGCGAACTGCAGCTGCACATTTTCTGCTCCCACAGCATCTTCCCCAAAGGCCCCAAATCAGTTGCTATAGAAACAAGTGGCACTAGGATAAACCATAATCACATCTGGCACTGCAGAGTGCAATAGAGGGGTCAGTGGGACAAGCATCGTTAAAGGTGCACTACAATAATTTATTTAAATTGGATTAAAAATGAAAATCTTTTAAAGCAGAAGTTAATAGCACAGGAACTACTAAGTAATTTTACTAAAGCAAATACATTTTATTATTAATTTCCCATCCTGTTTATTTATTTAACTTGATCAAAAGTCGCAGTTGTAGATAATATGGGTAAAGTTAATTAGGAAGAGAGGTGCTAGCATCTATTTTTCCTTTGGTTAGTTTACCATTTTAACCACTATACACAACTTAGAGTACAATAAAACCTTCATCCAGGTGCATTTGCACTCAATAGATAAACAAATTTATATAGCATGTCAATGCAATAATGTCTTAAATCTTGGATACTCAGTTATTGATGGCTATCTTAACTGATAGATGATTAATGGGTACTATGAAGTAGTTCTGAGGCTGTACAAGAACTTGTCTGTTCCCAGAGTATCTAAGGCACTTCACTGCAGCATTATCCAACAAAACATGATGCCGATGTGGTCATCTAACCCTCGACTTGACAATAGCATCTACTCAGGGTCATAAGTTTCTACCTTGGGTCTTCACATGATGGAATAGGCCAAATCTCAACCTGCAAATCTTTGAGTACATGGGAAGGATGTGCCTTTGGCTATCAGAATCTGGAATGCAGAATTTGCTTTCCCTCCTTCCTTTCCACCACAGTAATACCGCATTATTAAGTCCTTTGGACTCAGTGCTTGATTCAACTTGATGGACTAGTCACATTTTTAATGTAGAAAGCTGTTCCAAGTCATTAATGTGTTATGAGGCTATGGTCCAAAAGATTATCAAACAATTGATATAACTGTGTCTCCACTACTGAAAGATCAAAATTTGAAAATCAAGTATTATTACTTGAATTGATCTTAGAAGATAACAATGCAAAATGCTCCATGTTCGATAAAATCAAAATCATTTAGCAAACTGAAGACTTCATATACAGGTAGGTTTAAGGATTCACCAAAGGCTCTGAGGATCTGCATAAGTATATGGTGGCTATCTGTGCCAATCAGGATGGTCAAGGTGAGGGAAATGAAATTGCAGTGAGGAGAACCATCAGTTATTAGGCCCACTCCTGATCTCACAGGAGGCAGTACAGGTTAACAAAGCCATTAATAAACCATACGGGATACTCGATTTTACAAATAGAGTTAGCGAGTATAAGAGTATGGAAGCAATGCTAAATCTTCAAGAATCATAAATTTTGTACTAATTGAAGTAGGGTGTCCAATTTAATGCATCACATTTTAGGATGGGCATGAAGGCTTTGAAGAGATTACAGAACAGATATACCCAGCGAGCTCTAGGGATGGGCTATGGCAGTTATAATAACTTCGGCAATGCCATGATGGCCAGCAAAGGTAGTGCCAATTACTTCAGCTAAAATGATCTCTTCAGAAATGCTCCGATACCTCTCTGGACAGCAGCCCTGCTAACATTTTCTTTACAGCATTTATGAAGTAACGGGCCTCAAGTGGATTTGGTGCATTTGAACCAATCTTTTACATGGATTGCAGCTGCTTCTCCAAACTCCAAAAGAATAATTGACCAATTGCACTTCTATAACTAGGAGATACTTATACTTTTAGCTCAGAAGGCAATACTCTCCACTCTGATGGATTAAGACCAAGACTCAAGGGATTGAACGTGTCAATAAGGCTCATCATCTGGTCTTGTGTAGATGCAGACTCATAGGTTACTGTTCAGCGTACTATGAAAAAAAGTGGACTGTCTGCTTGATGCCACTCTGGGTGGAGACAGAATGACTACGGATTTTACAAACTGACAAACAGCCAATGGTCACAAGTTTGACTGCTTGTCATTACATGGGCAACACCGTCTTTGTTCCAGCAGTTTACATGACATGGCACAACAAAGCGATGTTTATGCACATGCAGGTCACTGCACCACCTAGCAGTGGTGTTGACAACAGACAGAGCCTGGAGATGCTGAGTTTGTTGTCTGTTGAGCACAAAAAGGCAGAGAGGGGCATTTTATGGAGATGTTTGAAAACATTTAATAATTTCGATAGATTAAATACAAAGTGTAACTATTTCTAATGGCAAAAGGATCAAACAAGGAGCACAAATTTGAAGTGTTTGAAAAGCGGATCAAAGTAAACATGAGGAAGTTCTTTTTTTAACAAAATCTCAAAATTTGATCTTGATTTGGATTTGGAACACACTAATTTGGAGAGTGCAGGATATAGTACCCGTTGAAAGTTAATTGGATAAATCATAGAATCCCTACAGTGTGGAAACAGGCCCTTCAGCCCAATAAGTCCACACCGAATCTCAGAGCATCCCACCCAGACCCACGCCCGTAACCCACCTAACCCACACATCCCTGAACAATATGGGCAATTTAGCATGGCCAATCCACCTAGCCTGCACATCTTTGGACTGTAGGAGGAAACCCACACAGACACAAGGAGAATGTGCAAACTCCACACAGACAGTCACCCAAGGGTGAAATCAAACCCGGGTCCCTGGTACTGTGAGGGAGCAGTGCTAACCACTGAGTCACCGCGCTGCCCTACTTTAAAGGGAAGAAAAGTTACAGAAATATGATGAGTGGAGCAACAGAATGAACAGCAGTGCTCACAAAACAGACTTGATAAGCTAAAAGACCTCCCGTACTGTACTATTCTATGATTTGACTACATACATGTAAAATTCCTGTAAATTCCAAGTCCCAGGAATTTTACATGTATTTCAAGTCCCCACTAATGATTATATTTTAGAACAGACAGAATGAATTGAACAACTATATTCTCTAAACAACTTCTGTTATTTAAACCATTTTACATTTTCCATTAAGTTACAAAATCCTCACAGAAGAGGGAGTATCTAGGGTGGTAGAGGAATAATCAGTGAAAACATTGCCATGTCTGCTGAAGTGCAGTGAACTATTGAGAAATCAAATCAAATCAATCCTTGATTTAATAAGTAAAGATCATGAAGCTTCATTTGTGGATTTTTAGCAGATAAATATATTATGATGAGCAGTCATACATAGCTCTTCTTCTCCCTAAGGTTATCACGAAGCAACCAAACGAATAAAGGCACACCCTAGGAGTGCATAGGGTGATAGGGGAAGCAGATTGTAAACCTGCAGATTGTAAGGTCAATTACAGAATTTCTTCTTCAAATGACAAGGATTTGGAAAGCATAAACCTGCTTCCTGTTTATTGTAGTGCAGATTGGAATGCAGCAAAGTAAAATGAACACATTAAGGTCAATACTTCACTGTCACAGTGGTATAGTTTTGTAGTTTCATTTTGTACCTCTCAAAATGTAAAAATTTCATTTTACTTTGCTGCATTCTAATCTGCACTACAATAAACCGGAAGCAGGTTTAATGCTTTCCAAATCCTCAATCTGTACTGATATCTCTCTGGGAGATTCTGCAGATCATTTTTAAAAATCTCATTAGCAGAAATCAAGTTTAAAATTATGTGTATACATTTCTGCCGATCAATCAAGCTAATAACTTGCTAAAAGAGCTCATTTAAATTCCTGGCTTCTGGTCTCTTGACAATTCATTTTACGCATCAATAAATAATTATTAGCACTGGCAAATAAGTTGGACAGTTACAGCAGAAATAGAAAGAGCTTACCACGTCAGCTGCATCCAAAATGCTTGGCGTTTTAAAATACTGATTTACTGAAACAATGATGAGACAGAATACAGGAAAGAGATAGAATACTTGGTGACACTGCATAAAGACAACAATCTTTCCCTCTGTCAACAAAACTAAAAAGAGACGATCATCAACTTCAGGAAGCAAAGAGGGCATGCCCATATCTACATCAGTGGAGCTGCGGTGGAGATGGTTGAGAGTATTCCGACAAATGACTATCACTAACAATCTGTCCTGGACCACCCATGTTGATGTGCCCATCAAGAAGGCACAATAACACATCTCCTTCCTCAGGAGGCTTTGGAAATACAGCATGTCCACATTGGGCTTTCACCAACTTTTACAGATGCACCATAGAAAGCATTCTTTGAGTGCATCACTGCTTGGTACAGCAACTGCTCTGCCCAGGACCGTAAGAAGCCACAAAGTTGTTAACACCGCACAGACAATTACACAAGCCAACCTTCCATCCATTGACTCCACTGACACTTCTCAATGCTTTGGAAAGGCAACCAACATCAGAGACCCCTCCCACCTGGTTATAATATCTTCCAACTTCTTCCATCAGGGAGAAATACAAAAGCTTAAAACACATACCAACAGTTCAAGGACAGCTTCTTCCCTGCTGTTATTAGACTTCTGAATGCACTTCTCAAATTTCAAATCTAACGTTGATCTTGCTTTTGGTACACCTTCTTTGCAGCCGTAACTTTCCATTCCTCACTCTATTCAATCACCCTATGATCTCGATTTATTATGATCTGTCTGTATTGCACGCAAAACAAAAAACTTTTCACTGTGCTTAGGTATATCTGATAATAATAAATCAAATCAAATCTACCATGAACCAACCAGATAGAATTGTGGAGTAAAA